TCAGTGGTCAAGTACAAGAAAAATCAGAGGACAGTGTACCTTTGTCACTGCACGCTCCCAGTACATTTTTACAAACCTGAAGAAAGCATGGCTTTAACCCTCTTGTGTAAGCAGACCTTGCTTAAATCCAAAAGCCTCAACTAGAGTAAACCAATTTAATCAATCAAGTGGAATAAGGGTTGGGTTTTTTAAAATGTTACTCTGAGTATTCTATGCCTAAGAAAACTATTAAATTCATTGGGTTGCCATAAGTTGACAGGCAGCGTGAAGGCTCGCACGCTTGGATTCAATAGGTCTGCCCTAGTTGGAACTGACAGTTTGGTTTAACCTGTGGACTTCATATACAGCTTGGAAGAGTTTTGGACGACAATTCCAGAATCTCCTAGATAGAATGGCTGGAGGGTTCTGAGATTTGTAATTTTAAACAACTTTTCCAAGCTTTGGTGCATACTTACACAACAACAGCAGTGCTCCTCCATAGGATCAAAAAGAGGGGGATAGATGGGTCTATCTCTGTTGCATCCTGAAAATAAACACCAGGAATGTGCCATTCTGTTTTTCCATGTGACTCATCACAATTTCCTGCAGATCCAATCAAATTTACATGGGGATTTGATTCTATGCCAGCAGGATTGAAATGCTCTACTGTATCAGTAAAGATGAGCAGTATATCTTATTTCTGTTCAGTTGAGAGGTTGGCAACAATATGTTGCTGACCACAGTTTTTTGAATTCATGTGTAATATTGTGGTAGAGGGGAAGATAAGCTTGACCTTTTTTTTCTAGAATTTACAAAAAACAATGCAGATCTGACAAGGAAACAAAGGCCAGACAAGAAAGGCTGAGGATGGTGAAGAGTTAGTTAGAGTTAAACAGAAATATTTTCCCCAGCACCTGTTAAAAAGTATATCTGTTGGCAAAATTCACAATAACTGGGAGCAATGCTGAATACTTGCATCAGAGCCAGTTATCTGATGAGATTGTGGCTAGCAAAGATCGTATTCATGCTCACAGATATTATGGAGTTTCTGTTGTTTTAAGCCAGTTGTGCTCAGGGCCTGTGATACCATTAGATAAAGTGAGGCAAGACTCCTGTGTGGCAGATTTGGGGAGATAATAATAGGTCTCGTGCCTCCAAATGCAGACATATAGTTGAAGTACTTGAAAGCCCCATTTATCTCCCATGGAAGACAGAACTGGGTGTGCCATACAACTTATATTGACTTTTGTAAATAATACTACTTCCTGCCAATATTTGGGGAATGCTACCCAATTGCCACTAAGATTTCCCTGCCTACCTAGTCCATTTCTGGAGTGGAAGAGGCACCATATTGTCTTTAGCCTGAGCAACAATGTGTCCCTGGCCAACCCAGGTTGTTTTTCAGTGCCCTCAGCTCCGAAGTACTAAAGTAACATCGAAGCTCAACAAAAGCTGGAAATAGTAGTACCACTTCCGGACTTTTCCCACCCCCACCCCCACCCCACACACACACACACATTTAGGCCTGGAGTTGTAGTTGAAGAAAGGATCTTTTTTGGGATCTAGATCAAATATTCTGGGTGGTGACCCATTCCTAACTCTCGTGCATTGCAACATCAGCAATGCAGTGGAATCAATTCACTGCCAACTATCTACTTAGCCCATGGGAATATCTGTGCTGTGGTTTGTGGCTTCCATTTGGAATATGTGAAGCCACCTTAGCCCAGACTTTAAAGCAGGATTGGACAAATGAAGAGTGTACAGGGGAAAGGTTTTGCTCCATTGGCCACACTCATGCACCAAATCCACCATCTCCCCTAAAAAGACTTTGCCCTCTGAACCCCCCAAATTGAAACAAGAAGTAAGCAATGTCACTTCCAGCTTCAATTTTGGCCAATTTAAGTGCAACAAGCTGAGCATTTTCACACATGGGAGCACGTCCATTGTGTTCTGCAGTGCTATTGAGCCATTGGGGGATGAAAATCACCCAAAACATATTTAATAGGATCAGGGAGCTTTGGGGGAGCTTCATGGACCACACTTTGGGGCTCCAAAAGATTGCAGTCAAGCCACAGGCTACAGTTCGCCCACCCCTGCTTTAGCAAAACTACCTAAGCTGAACAAATGTTGGGAATCCAGGGTGGATTTGCTGATACGGAAGGCATCATCTGCCACTGCCATACTCCATTCCAAACTTCATTCACTGCAGACACTTCATCGTAATTGGCCATCTGGCATAAGTAGCTTTTGGCTGTTCATTATTTATTTGAGCTTACTGCCATCCTTACCATTCAGCCAAGAATAGATACTCATCTTTGCCTTGCAGTTGTGTTCTCCAGGAAGCCTTGCTAGAATAGGGTCTCTGTGTGCCTGCCAGCCCCTGCTGCACAAAATAGGCGTCTAGACTTCTATGGCACACAAGCTTTTCAATGCATGTAAATTCTTCCACCTATTTTTTTCCTAAGATAATTTGTGATATATGGAGGGGAAAGTTGAATAAATACTGTTTCTCTGAGACTGACACCTAAATGCCATCTGAGAAGCACAACTGTAGTTATGGTACTCTATCATAGTCTTCAGTGTTCTTCCCACAGAAGAAAATTGTACAAAGCAAATCTTTTTATGTGTCCCATTGACTAATTGACTAGGCACTTGGCGCCTTTTCTTTTCTTTTCCACTTCCTGTAGTCATTGATTTAGGCCAAGTCTTGCAGGGGAGACACAGATGAAGTGACCAAAGCTTAACTGACAAAGAACAAAATAGATAGGGATAAACTAAAGATCAGATACAGAGGGTATACTTTGAATGTGTACATTATTTTTTGTTTAAGAAGAATAATCCATAATCGGAGACCCTGGGTTATTGTAGCACATCACACACAACAGCACTGGAAGAGCAGTGGTTCTCAACCTTCCTAATTCCGCGATCCCTTAATAGGGTTTCTCATGTTGTGGTGATCCCCAACCATAAAATTATTTTTGTTGCTACTTCCATAACTGTAGTTTTGCTACTGTTATGAATGGTAATGTAAATATTTGATATGCAGGCTGTATTTCCACTCTCTGGACCAAATTTGGCACAGGTACCTGATATGCCCAAATTTGATTTTGTCATTTGGGAGTTGTAGTTGCTGGGATTTATAGTTAACGTACAATCAAAGAGCATTCTGAACTCCGCCAACAATGAAATTGAACCAAACATGGCACACAGAACTCCCGTGACCAAGAGAAAATACTGGAAGGGTTTGGTGGGCTTTGACCTTGAGTTTTGGAGTTGTAGTTCACCTACATCTAGAGAGCACTGTGGACTCAAACAATGATGGCTCTGGACCAAACTCGGTACAAATACTCAATATGCTCGAATGTGAACACTGGTGGAGTTTGTGGAAAATAGACCTTGACATTTGGGAGTTGTAGTTGCTGGGATTTATAGTTTGCCTACAATCAAAGAGCATTTTGAACCCTACCAACGATAGAATTGGGACAAACTTCCCTTACAGAACCCACATAACCAACATACTGTGTTTTCTGATGGTCTTTGGTGACCCCTCTGACACCCCCTAGCAACCCCTCAGGGATCCTGACCTCCAGGTTCAGAAACACTGCACTTGAGCTTGGCGAGGCTTACTTTTGGGTGGAGACATCATTGTACCTCTCATAACTCAATACAAAACTGAGCAACATGAATCTCCTCAGAAAGCATTGCGTCCCAGGTTATGTCGACAAAGCTAGGGCTAATGAGAAAATCAGGATCCTGTCTTGGTAAGGTGGAGTTTTCTTGGTAGCTAGTGCTCAAACACTGACAAATACAAAAGTGAGCTGAGCACAGAAAACGTTTAAGAGAGCTGGAATTAGCATGAGAGAAAGAATCTTTTCCTTTGCATATGCCCATGTTTCCTTTGTCCTTCCAAAGCCCTTGCTAAGAGCATTTTTGCACACTTTGGAATCATAGCTCAGGTCCAAGGTATATAGTCAGGTGTATTTTCCCACTAACTTAAAAAAAACAAAATAAAATGAGCTGTGAAATCAAGTTGAAGGACAAGTGAGTTGATGAATTTATTGCCCTTTCACCTGGAGTTCAGACTGAGCATCTTTTATCTGGAATTAAAAAATCAAAAATATTCCAAAATCTGAAATTGTCCACATGAATGGCAGAGATAGTAGATCATTTCCTTTCTGATGGTTTAATGTGCACAAACTTTGTTTCATGCATAGTATGATGACAGTAATTTTGAAGTACCAGTGGTTAAGACAGGGTTCTTTTTTTCCACAACAGCAAGTTGGATGCATTTTTCAAGTGCATCCAATTGCGCCCATTGACCTGAAATCTTGACTGGTAAAGCACTGAGCATACAGGTTAAGCTTCTCATCCTGCAGATTTTAACTCTGCACCAGCTGTTAGACAGAGACATTTGTTTCATCTCTAATGCCAAATACAGAAGCCACAAAGCCTCACTAGATGCCTAGGCAGAAATCCAGAGCTTGGGAAAGTAAAATTTTGGACTACAGCTCTCGGAATCCTTCAGTCAGTAGAGCCAATGGCTCTGTAGGCTGGAAGATTTGAAAAGTTGCATTCTAAAACAGCCAAAAGTTGCATTCTAAAACAGCCAAAAGTTGCATTCTAAAACAGTTTTGCATAAATATGTGTGATGAAATTCATTTTTTAAATAGACAAAAAGGGAGAACTGGGGTGGGAGGGTTCCTTATGGTTTCTTTGTTAACCCTTTAAATGCCCCAAATAGCCCCACAATGTTCAAAGCACACATTACTAAAACAAATGTCCTTTGTTTTTCATAAATAGCCTGAAAGCACCAGATCCTCTCTAATCTTGAAAGCTTAATATATTGAGCCCTAGTTAGTACCTGAATGGGAAGCCACCAACAAATCCCAGATACTGTAGATTCTGTGTGGTGTTCAGAGGTAGCAAAACCACCTCTGAAATACATGGATTTGCCATAAGCCGATGGGCAACTTGAAGGTGCACATACATACACTGATGGCGTATTTTGTATTCCTTGACAGGCAACAAGTCCCGGAGAAAAAACAGAAGAAAAAGAAAAAGACAAAGTGGCGAGGAGACAGAGCAACCAGTTCCCACAAACTGCACTGCGTGATTTTGTGACCTGCCTGTTCCATGTTTCGCTCTTTTCATTCGAATGTGAACCTAATTTGAACTAAAAGAAAAGAAGACCAACCCTTGAAACGCCATTAATGCTAACATTTCAAGAACAGTGATTCTTACACTGGGAGAAAAAAAAAACTTGACAGGAAGCAGAGCCTTGGGCATTTTTTGAAGCTCGGCCAAATGACTGCTTGGCAAATGGTGAAGGATGGTTTATAGAAAAGGAGGGAGATTCTCCCTAGAAAAGCGGGGAGGAAACTTGGGACTGGAGTTTTATGAATGTCGAGCATCTCAACAATCTTTATTTTGTAATAGGGAGGAGGGAGGGGGAGTCTGAGTTTATTGGCCAGGGTTTCTAAGTGTGGCTCATTTCTAAACAGTGAGAACTGACTCATTTTTGTACAGTGGTCTGGGGTGGGGTTCGGGAGGGGGTCAGCACTTCCTCGCTCAGTGAGCAACTGAGAAAGAAATACAGTGGGGTTTATTTTCTCTTGCACTGGACACTCCCAGATCTAGTCAGTCATGCCAAACTGTAACATTATATGAAAAAGTGCATAGATTTGAAGGAAGAAAATGAATTCCAGCTGCTCCAGACATTGTGTCTCTCCCATCTGTAAAAATGCCAGCAAATAGGATGAAGGATTAGGGTTGGTTAGCTGGTTGGTTGTCTTTGTCTTTGTTGTTAATCCCAGATTGGGGAGGGAATATAAATTTGTCTTGTTTTGTTTTGTTAGCATGAAAAGGCTGCCATGAAGGAAAGGAGGTGGGTGGCCATTTTGCTAATCCTGAAAATATTTAAATTAAAAGTTATTTACAAAACATGAATAAGAGTATTTTTAATAGAAGAAACATGGGTCAGTTATGCAAGTGTAAACTGAACACAGTGGTCCTTGGCTATAAATTTTGTTGTCAAAGGGTAAGGAGGATGTTGATTGAATCTTGAATCTTGGTGTCTTTTGCTTTCATTTCTAAGACAAAGTAACCTTTTTCTTTCAGTAATACACTCCTCTAAGTTCAAAAGAATTTGACTCTATTCCAGTTCTCATATTACATCAGTTTTTCAGAAACTATTCTATTCTTTTTTTAAAAAGCCAAACACTAAATATTTAATCAAACACACAGTCTTATGTTTCCAGATGCAGTGCTAGTGTATATTCGGTAATTTTCAAATGATATTTAGTGGTTTTCCCCCTTCATTCCAGAACACTTACAGTATGATAACATATTATGGAAGTTATGCCATAAATGGTGAGCGTTTCTAGAGGATAAAGGCCAAATGGCTATAAATGAAACAAAGAGGCAAATAAGTAAGGTTTTTCTTGCCATTTCTTCTGACTAGTTGAGCAAATGAGCTGGCTGTGAGCCATTATGTTTTGAGCTTTGGAACTCAAGGGGCCCATCCAGACAGTACCTTCATCCCAGGAGCTTCTGCAGGAAACAGGAGGGTGGCTGGCCAGATGCCATTCCCTCAAAACACAGACGCAATTGCTACAAATGGCAAAAAACATGAGATTTCCAGGTGCGGGAATATCACAGTTTGGAGCCAAATATGCGGATCTTTGCATGTCTGTATGTCCCTGCAATAGGAAATCACGGGATTTTTTATCTGTGTTTGTTCCCAGGTTTTAGATGTTTGTTCCTGATTGACTGGTCCCTAAAAAGGTGACTCTTGAATAAAAGGCAAAAACTTTGTTTGTGTGGCTGATACTTCATGAAATGTGTGGAGCGGACATTTTCTCTGGCCAGGACAAAGTTGTGGCTCCCTAGTCAATGTTGTACATCTTTTCACAAGAAGAACAATCAGGAAAGGCCATGTATAACCCAGGAACAGCACCCTGTTGTTTGATGCCACAAGTACACAACCAAATCTGTCTGGACAGATGGCCAGGCAGCTAGGTTCTAAAAAGTGTCAATAATGACAATGTTCTGTTCCTGGCTTGAAAGTGTGTGTTCCTGTTTGATTGTATAGTGCTGACTTTGGCAGAAGTGGCCCTACCCTGTAAACTTTGTTTGTGTAGCAGATACTTTATGAACCGTCTGGATGTTGTCATTCATTCGTTCAGCCGCTTCTGACTCTTTGTGACCTCATGGACCAGCCCATGCCAGAACTCCCTGTCAGCCATCACCACCCCAAACTCCTTCAAGGTCAAGACAGTCACTTGAAGGATACCATCCATCCATCTTGCCCTTGGTCGTCCCCTCTTCCTTTTTCCTTCCTTTTTCCTTCCTTTTTCCCCAGCATAATTGTCTTCTCTAAGCTTTCCTGCCTTCTCATTATGTATCCAAAATACTTCATCATTCTCTCTAATATCTTTCCCTCCAATGAGCAGTCGGGCTTTATTTCCTGAAGTATGGACTAGTTGGATATTCTCGTGGTCCAAGGCACTCTCAGAACTTTCCTCCAACACTACATTTCAAAAGCATCTATCTTTCTTCATTCAGCCTTCCCTATGATCCAGCTCTCACATCCGTAGGTTACTACGGGGAATACCATTGCTTTTGCTATGCAGAAACGTCTGAAGGGCACGGTTTTTCTGGCCAGGACAAAAAAAATTAAAACTTTTGCATTGATTTGATGCAATGATACTCTGCATATCCACATATCTGCATCTTGAGGGTTTTAAAAAAAAACCACCAAAGTTTTCAGCGGAAGTCCCACAGCAGCCATCTTGGGAACCTTTAAATCTCGCAACACAGCATCAAGTCTGCACAATGGAGGCAGAAATCCCGGGACCAACAAGTCTGAAGTCCCGGGAATTTTTGCCCCTGTTTAAAATCTGTGATTTAGTGCTATCTGGAAGCGTCCAAGGAGATTTACTTCTTGACAAAGTCTTCTAGTTGTAGTGCAGCCTTCTTCAACCTGAGAACCTCCACTAAAGTGCTAGGCATTATTATTTGTAACATCTGGAGAGCAGATGGTTGGAGAAGGCTGTCATTACAAATTGTTTTAATTAGTCATCGTTTAAGAAATCCTAGTGATCCAGGAAAAGGAGAAGAGACAGAATAGAGATGGCAGTGCACTTGAATAAAATATAAAACTTCTCAAAATGAATTCTGGTTGCTTCTCAGTCACAATGAAGGCAGCAAAGAAGTACCTGTATTTCATTTCCACATCTTGTTGGGTTGGACTAAGATGTCAACTCTACTATTTTCACAGGTGGAACATGGAAGCTGAAATTAGCCCTCTAACTGTGCAGCAACGCAGGCAAAAAATTATAACTGGCCAACGGATCCACCAGGACTCAGAACTGCGTTCAGTCCAAGATGGATACAGTTTTTTCAAAGCAGCTGCATTTTATTGAATAAACTGTAGATATAGATGATAGTCTGAGATGACAATCTGACTGGATGATTCAGCAGCATTACCTTTTTATTGCTTCATACTGTCCTAGAATATAAATCATATTGACACTGGAGTGCTGTTTGAAACAGCTTCAACATGGCAAGTTCTTCATACATTTGCTGCTGCTCAGAGGTAGGCACCTCTGGTTTCCCATGTCATTTAGATTATAGTTGCTATAACCCCTTACTATGGATCATGGTGGTTGAGACTTGTAGAAACTGAAGTTCAAGCCGCCTGTAGGACCTAAGTCACTGCAGTTAGACTGCTGTGGCATCTGGAACATAACCACACTATGCGGTTATTGAAGCGTGAGTGCTGAAAATTGGAACAGCAACAAGTGTGGCCCAATAGGGCACAATATCTAGCATTGTTGTCTGGCATGATGGAGGAAATGTAGATCAAGATCAAGGAAATGGTCTCCTACAGTGATGGGCCACATGTCGTCCATCAGATGGGGATTGACTACAGCTCTCTTCAGTCCTAGCCAGCACATGACCAACATGGAAATCATTTCTTCAAAGAAGTTTTTACTCAACATTTCAGGAATTGGTACCCTTCACCTGAATCTTTCAGATATTTGATTACTTGGAAGTGATTGTGGATACATCTTGATTCAAATGCAGTTACTTATAATAATTTTGTCCAATAGCCCACATGTGAGACAAAGTAAGGTTTTGCCCACCTGCAGGAAAATAATGAAGTATTATTGTGCCAAAATCAGTCCACCAATTTCCTGAAACTCATGAAAGAGACTTCTGTTTTCATGCCTCATTTTCAAGGTACTTTGACATTTCTTTTGGTTATGTCCTTATCTTCTCTTCTTTCTTTTTTTGAAGTAGGTTGGAACTGGTATTTCCCTCTATTTCTATTACATTACTCTTCCTCATTCCACTGCCCCATGGTTACCTGTACCTCTTGATCTGAAAAAGATGTACAGGTATTACTCCACAATGTATTCTCTTGACTTTCATTTTTCCTGTGACTGTTTTGTGTGGTTTTTATGCCTTCTTTGTCATCTGGCTGAGGATCCTTCCACACTGCACACATATAGCACTATGGTTCCACTTCAGCTGCCATGGCAACATCCTATGGAATCCTGGGATCTGTAGTTGAGGGAGAGGTGTTTAGAGTTCTCAGCCCGGGAGCCCTTTCCGTGCCTCTGATGAAATTACAAACCCTCAGAATCCACAGGATGTCAAGTCAATTAAAATGGAATGATACTGCTATAATTGTGCCTTGTGAAAGCGTCCTGAGTACAAGAAACCATGCTTTGGATACCAGAAATACATTTCCACAATAAAAGATAAGGCACACCAATATACCAAAAGTAGACATACACACTCAATCATCTTCCTACTAAAGTAAGTACTGTTCAGAATTTCTACATTTTTTTTTCTTTTCAGAATGTCTTTTCTTTCCAAAAGCTGTTTTTTCTTTATGAAACTAAATAAGAAATATGGAAAATATACTGTTGAATCAGTGGGGTGTGGTTGTTTTCCAGGCTAGATGGCTGTGTTCTAGAAGCATTTTCTCTTGATATTTCGCCTGCATCTGTGGTTGGCATCTTCTGAGTAGCAGCTCCTCTGAAAATGCCAGCCACAGATGCAAGGAAAATGTTAGGAGAAAATGCTGCTAGAACACGGTCATACAGCCATCCAACACCCCACAAATATGGGAAACATTTTCAGAACCATGCTTTGTCTGTGCTCATGGGGTGCTGCAACACTGGGCTTGTGCACATAAAGCTTTTGAAGGCCATTTCTATTGGCCACTTGATACTTAAGCCCACGTGGTATATATCCATGTAGCATAGGCTGTGCACAAACTGCAATTTGACCTGTGGGTTTCATAACTTATGCGACTTACTTAAAAACTGTTTTGTTTGGGGGGGGGGTGGAATTTGTGGAAGCTTGCATAGTAAGAAATCCCTGTCTATGCAGTGATCTGATGCATACATAAACAGTTTTCCTGTGTGAAGAGGGAAGCTACAGGGAACAATTTAAATTAGCTTCCATACTACAGCTGTTTTTATATACATCTGTTCCAAGTCTAGTTAGATTCTGGCTATGAAGGATGTGTTCAGTGTCCATGTGAGAGATATGTGCACATTTAAGGATTATTTTTTCTCTATATCCACTTAAACCAATGGTTCTTTTGCACAAAGGACTAATTAATATGCAGCAGCTTATAGGAGCAGCCTTGCTGCCTCTAGGCAATTTAGGGCAAGGAATTTGGAGTGTGAGAGTTTTGCATCCATTCTCTGCGTCTCAATACCAGGGTGCCCTTTCTGCTGTCCAAAGCCCCAATAGCTAAGCTGTGGGAACTCGCCAAAAAGTCTGGGCACATGCTTCTGGTACAAGTGCAGTCTTTTCAGTACACTTCAGAATGAAATCTGACTTTTGCAAAGGGAGCCAGAGGGGTATTAAGGATGCTGAACCAAAAAAAGCAGGAAACTGAAAAATGAGGGTTGGTGCCC